GCCTTTGGTTTTAACTGAGCATTTTGTATTATTTTATTTTTTCTCAATTAGCATATCAGTTACACTTTTGAAACTTTTTTAGTGGTTGCCCTTGAGTTTGCAATATATATTAGCAACTAACCCAAGCTCCCTTTAAAATACGTAGTGTCTGGTAACTTATATAACAGGGTATTCCAGATTCTTTCCTCCTGTTCCTTTTAACATTGCTGTCATTCATTTCACTTTATCAATCAGCTATAATCGCTTAATACATTATGGCTACTATTTTGAACAAACTGTTACGTTAGATCATTTTAGTGGGAATAATAAGAAAATATGCTCTTTTACCTTCATTTATTGCTTCTCTAACACTTTTTTTATTATCTAGATCTAAGTTTCTGACCTATATAATTTTCTTTCTTTCTGACAAATTTCTTTTAACCTTTCTTGGAAGACAGGTCAACTGACAATAAATTCCCTCGATTTTTGTCTGTCTGAGGAAGTCTTTATTTCTCCTTCAATTTGAAGGTAATTTTGCTGGATACAAAAGTGTAGGTTGTTGGGATTTTTCTTTTAAATTCTTTAATTATTTCACTCTATTCTTCTTGCTTTCATGTTTTCTAAGAGTTTAATGTATGAGGTCTGAAAATTCAGTTTGCGAACTCATACTAGAAAACGTACTACATACTTCATTGCTGAATATCACTATGGTCCCCTTTGAAGTACTCCCCTTGGGAAGCTATGTACTGGTGCCAGCACCTAGTCCACCATTCAAAGCAATTTTGGAACTCTTTTTCTGGAATGGCCATCAGAGCTGTTGTCATATTACCCTTGATGTCCTGAATGTCATCAAAATGTCTTCCTTTCAATATTTCCTTTATCTCTGGGTAAAGAAAGAAGTTATTGAGGGCTAGATCAGGTGCAGGTGAGTAGGGAAGGTGCTCCAATATAGTTAATTGTTTACTGGGTAAAAACTCCCTCACAGACAGTGCTTTGTGAGGTGGTGCATTGTCATGATGTGAAAGCCATGAAATGCTGACGAAAATCTCAGGTCATATTCATCTAACTTTTTCATGCAGCCTTTTCAGCACTTCCAAATTGTAAACTTGGTTAGCTGTTTGTCCAGTTGGTACAAATTCATATTGAATAGTCCCTTTGATATGAAAAAGGTTAGCAACATTGTTTTAACTCTTGGTTTGGACTGATGGAACTTTTTTGGTAGTGGAGAATTGGCTGACTTCCATGCACTTTGACACTTTGTTTCAGGGTTGTAGTGGTACGTTGGCCATATTTCATCACCAGTGATAACATGGCCCAAAACATCTTCCCTCTCCAAAAGGTCTTGGCAAGCTTCGACTCTCTTTTGCTTTTGTTCACCTGTGAGCTCCTACGGGACTATTTTTGCACACACCTTTCTCATGCCAAGATTTTCAGTTAAGATTTTCCTAACTATTTCTCTATCGATGTTTACTTGACTTGGTCTGCTATGCTTCTCACAATCAGCCGACGATTTAGATGCACAAATCGATGAATTTTTGCAATGTTTTTTTTCATTTCTGCTCATTACTGGCTGCCCTGACCTCTCTTCTCAGTGATGCATTCTCTCCCCTCAGAAAAACGTTGAATCCATTTGTACACTGCCGTTTTCTTCATGGCATTGTCCCCGTAAACTTGGACTAACATGTCTCTCATTTTACTTCCACTCTTGCCAAGTTTAACAAGAAATTTAATGTTTGTTCATTGCTCTAATTCAAGCTCAGACATTCTAGCAACAGTGCACAAAAACACACAACAACAATAATGAATGCCACTCAGTAAGACACCACCACATGTTGACACAGACACAGCTGTGAGACACTGATACACCAAGGTTAGGAAACCTTACCGAGCTGTTTTGTACAGTGCTGCCAGTGTAAGTGCACGGTGGCGAGTTTGCAAACTTAATAGTGAGCTCTCGTACTTTGCATCCTTCTATAGGTAATTGTCCCAGACTTTTTGCATATTCTGTTCTTTTATATGCTTTTTCGTTGCATTTCAGTTTTGGAAGTTTCTGTTGACATTCCTTCAATTCAAGCTCATTCACTAATTTTTTTCCTTTAGTGGTTTTCAGTCTGATGATAAGCCCATCAGAGGCATTTTGAAATTTTTGTTAGTATTTTTTTATTTCTAGTATATCCTTTTGATTATTTCATAGTATTTCCACCTCTGCTGACATTACCCATCTGTTTTTACATGTTGTCTTTTTTTTCCATTAGATCCCTTAGCATATTAATTATAGTTGTTTTAAATTCCCAGTCTGGTAATTCCCATATCTCTGCTATATTTCAGTCTGGTTCTGATGCTTGCTGTGTCTCTTCAAACTTCAACTTTTTAATATGCCTTGCAATTTTTTTTTTTTAAGATTTTATTGGGGAAGGGGAACAGCTGAGAAGTTGGCATTCAAATGTATATGGGTTCCTCTTTATGTGATGTGTTATTTTTCTCTGGCTGTTTTTAAGATTTTCTCTTTGACATTGGATTTTCAATAGTTTGACTATGATCCTAGTTATGGGTTACTGCTTGGGATTCTTGGAGCTTCTTGAATATGTAAATTGATATCTTTACCAAATTGGGGCCAGGAGTTAGCCATTATTTCATGAATTTTTTTGCCCCATTTTCTCCTCTTCTGGAACTCCAACTAAATGTATCTTATAGATCTTTCAGCATTGTCCCGTGGATCCATGAGGCTTTGTTCATTTTTTTGCTCTTTTTCAGATTGGATACTTTCTCTTAGTCTGTCTTCAAGTTCACTGACTCCTTTTGTCTTTACAACTATACTCTATGTCCATCCAGCAAAGTTTTTACTTCAGATATTGCATTTTTAAGTTCTAGAATGTTCCTTTTTAAAAAGTTTCTTTTTCTCTCTTGAAATTTTTTGTATGTTTCTTTATGAGCATATTTGTGTTCGTTAGCATCATTATAGTAACTGCTTTAAAATCTTTGCGAAATCCATATTGGTTTCATCTTGCAATTATCTCCATGGATTGCCTTTTGAGTGCTGAGTTTTGTTTTCCTATTTCTTTATAGATCTGCTAAATTTGGATTGTATCTGGACATTATAAATGATACCTTGTAGAGCCTTTGGATTGTGTTCTATTTCTCCAGAGAGTGTTGCTTTTTACAGTTTTATTTTAGCACAGTTAATTCAGTTAGTTCAAACTGTAAACTCTGCCTTCTTTGCAGAGGGCAGAGCTAAGTTTTTATTCTTAGCTGCAGTGCTTGTGCATCCTAGTTTCAGTAATCAGCCTGAAATTTGAGTTTATTTATATACAAATTTGGGATTTCCTCCTCTGGCTTTCTCCTTTTCAGCATTTTCTGTAACTGATGTGATTGTTCCGAACTCTGTTCTCTTATTCAAGCTGCCAAGGCTGTGGGTTTCTATCTGTGTTTTAGCCACACTACTTTCCTCCTTTGGAAGCCAGTAGGGCCTGCCCACAGGCTAAAACCCAGAAATAAAAATTCACTCGGGTCTTTCCCTTCCAAGTGATGCCTCCTCCAGTTTTCACTTACTTTTGGCCACACTACAGTACCTTCAGGTAGTTGTTTTATAATATTTTGCCCAGGTTTTATAGTTATTATCAGAGGGAGACTTGTTCTAATAGGAACTACTCAGCCAATACTAGAAGTGGAAATTCTCCATATTATTTGTGAAACTTAGAATTACAGTAGCCTCAAAACAATAGAATGGTGACTAATATTTATATAGCACTTCATGGTTATAAAAGCACTTTGATATAGATTATCTGCTTTATCATGATTATTAATGATATAGTAGGAAGAATACTAAATGCCTAGGTGCTGCTACACTTTGGGCCAAGAACCTGGACAAGAAGTGAATCCGAAGTCTAAATTCAACATAATAATACTATGTACACGTATAACAAAATGTGATAACTAAAGCAAGAAGTTGGGGAAGGAAAATGGTAATGGAAACTTTAGGTATGAGAAAGAATAGCAGAGTTTTGTGCCTTTAGGCAGGTGAGACTATTGCCAGGACACTAAGAATAAGTATATAAAGGATTTTCCTGCCACATAGTTGTTTCAGAAGTTCTTTAAACTTCAACTTAAGCTTCCTTGGATAACCTTTTCTCTACTGACTCTAAAGTAGATTGCCGCTTACGTAGCACCATCTTCCCACCTCCTGTTCTTTCTCACGGAACCATCATGGAACTCATTGTGTTACTTTTATACTTTTAAAACTTAATCTTCATAACATTTATTACGGTTTCTAACTTTTTTCATTTTTTAAATGGAGCTATGCTGTAAGCTCCATAAGGAGAAGGGACCATGTGTTTGTATACCTAGCTCCTAGCCCAGTGCTTAACATGTGTTAGATGCTCAGTTCATATTTGTTGAGGAATGGATGTATACACACACACACACACACACACACACACACACACACGCATGAATACAGATATACATAAGTACCAAGGAATGCAAAGTAAGAGTTATAAACATCTATTATATAGTCAGTCTTAAACTTTTCAGTAGAGTTGAGTTTTGTTTTTTCACCTAGATTTTGAAGAAAGCAATGGGCATGAGTTGAAGAATTACTGAGGGAATGTTCCAAATTGGGAAGAGGAAAGGAATGTCAAGAAGCTTTGGGGGAAATTAGTAAAATAATATTGTCAAGAATTGATAACTACTTTGTAGATTAGTAGTAAATTTTTAAATAAATATGGAGAAAGATCGTGGAAAAATATTTTTAAATAGTTAAGGTTATACAGATACTACGGAGGCCTAGAAAATACAGAGAAGAAGAAGAATATAGTGAAAGCAGTTTGAAAGGATAATTTAGGCAGTGATCTTGAATAATAAGACATCTGAGGCATGGAAATGAGTAGCAACCAATGCTTTTTGTTCTGTCTTGCTTGTGTGTTTTAGGGTTCCCAAGTCCTGAGATGATAGGGGGTTAAAAGCAAGTATTTATAGGCTCCTATAATTGGTTTTCTTTGTAATGAAACTTCCCTGTTCCACAGCTCTTGGATAAGCACAAGAATACAGAGAGCATGGTGGAGCTTCTAGACTTGTATCAGATGGAGGATGAAGCCTACAGCAGCCTTGCAGAAGCCACAACTGAACTCTATCAGTATTTACTACAGCCATTCCGAGACATGAGAGAACTTGCCATGCTACGAAGACAGCAGATCAAGGTATTTTTTAAAAACCTTAATGGTAGCCTGCCTATTTCATAGTTTTTGTCCTGGCTGACCATGCATTTTAGTTACTAGAGGAGCTTTTTAAAATGCAGTTATCTGGTTCTTTATCCCCAAAGATTCTAGTTTGGTAGGTTTGGGTTACATTCAGCCTGAACGCTTTATTTTAAAGTATCTCAAAAGGCAATTCTGCTGAGTAGCCAGGGCTGAGAACAGCCTAGAAAGCACAGCTGTAAATACATTGAGAGATCCCATTTGGCGCACCCCCACCCTCAGCCCCGCCCCCTTCCTGTACTTCTCCTCTCCTGCTCCTGTCTCCCTTTTAATATTTTGGGTATCATGTAGTCCTAAATTTCTTTACCAGAAGTTTTGGAACATTTGTTTTCAGAAGACCTTGTTTTGAAAGTTACAAGGATTTAATAGTAGAGCTTTAGAATTTATGACATTTAATTTTCATGTGTAAAGTATATATTACAGGTTTTTTTTTTTAGCTGAGCCATCCTGCCACCTGTTGGCAGCTCAGGTCGGCCCAGGAATCAAACCAGCGACCTTGTTGCTCAGAGCTCGCACTCTTGAGCAAGCCCTTAACCAACTGAGTCACTCGGTTGGCCTCATATTACAGTTTTTCAGGCAAGTGTTTTAAGGGTTTGGTTTTACAGCTGACCTCAAATAAGTTTTACTATGTTTAAGTCACATGGAAATGTTGCTGAACTAGGACTTAAAAATTGTGTTTTGCATAATGGGTTAAGTTGGAACAACATTATATAAGAAATGTGTATTTAAGAAATGAGCATTTATTCTGAGAACTTTGTGCTTGGGAGCAAGGATAAGTATTTGAAAAATTGTAACAAGGTAAAGCATGTCTGTGTGTTTCTTTTTCCCTTTACTATTGCATCAAGATACAGAGTGGACAGACTTAGTCCCCTAATGGGCACACTGATTTTTATTAATACTTTAGAGAAATATTGGGTCATTAGTTTTATCATAAACTTGGTTGGTATTGTCGAAGTAAGAAACATCCAAGCCTGTAGAGAATATTATAAGTTTATTTGAGCCAAACTTATGATACATGCTGGGGAGCAAGACCTCAAATGCTCCGGACAATAACAGTTTTGCAGCTTTTATACATTTGAAACTGTAAGGAAGATTACATGGAAGTGGGAGAAAGCAAGGTGAGAATTGGATTACATGAGGGCCGGCCGAGTGGCGTGATGGTTAAGAACTGGCTTGGGATGCCAGAGGGCGCCGGTTCGGATCCCACATATGAGGGCCAGTGACGCTGCCCTCCACAGCTAAGATGCTGAACAACAGCTCAACCTGGAGCTGGGCTGCCATGAGTCGCCGGCGACGGCGTAGGGTG